CCTCTCTCTCTCTCTCTCTCTCTCTCTCTCTCTCTCTCTCTCACGATGCTCTTTTTTCAAAAACCTCATGATACCATAATTTAAGGCCAACCATCCAAACGGCGAGCACTCTGAGGCTCCACGGCTCCGATAGCTTCGCTCTTAACATGGCTGTCTGTCGCTCTCATCAACATGGCCGTCTGCCGCTCTCATCAACATGGCCGTCTGCTGTCTGTCGCTTTCACCAACATGGCTGACTGCAAGGCGGAGAAACGGGGCAACTTCCCGTCGTCTTCTCGTGATTGTCCACTGCGTCAGACCTCTCCACCACTGCACGTGCACGCAACTAGAAATACTGCTTTTATTATCCCTCAACATACCATAGGGCTTGCATTATTTCCATTCAAACCATAATTAATTTATATATATATATGTATATATATAGATAGAATATATATTAAATATAGATATTCCCCGTTGAGGGGAAGGTGGCACTGTACTGACTTTGGCGGCCAATGACACTGCCAGACACAGAAGGGAGGGAAATGTCGTTCACACTGACACCAGCGCCTTCCTCACACTACAGGGAGGGGGGGGGGAACCACTTGGCCTCTACGTGCTTTCTCGCATCTCATGTCTCCTGAATCCTTTGAAATGAGTTCGCATCCCCCCACGGACTGATCATCTGATGCCTAGCGTCTGTGACTGGCACAGGAAAACTACGAACAACTCCCCGCTCACACGCGGCTAAGTCCCTCCTGTTGCCACAGAATGTACTCCTCCGAGAGCGTCTCTTCAACAGTAGAAGCATTTCCCTGGGCCGCTGGAAGGGGCTGAATGACTGATGGGCGGGGCTATACAGGAGGAGGGCGGAGCCACAGATGATGACGAACACTCACACGGGGATGACGGGGAGGGTAGAGGGCTGGGCTCGGCTTCTGTACCACGACGGCCTGACACACAGATGTCACTGGAGCCTTCTCGGGGGAGTGGAGGGGCATCCGTTCTGCCACGCTCCGCCCTTGGGGCGTTATCGCTGGGGGCGGAGCCTGTGTGACGGACAGGCGGGCTGCAAGCTGATCCAGTGAGCTGAGAGGATGACTGCGGGGAGGCGGAGTCTATGTGCTGAGCGGGTGGAGGGGAGGCGGGGTCTATGTGCTGAGCGGGTGGAAGGGAGGCGGGGTCTATGTGCTGAGTGGGTGGAGGGGAGGCGGAATCTATGTGCTGAGTGGGAGGGGGGGAGGCGGAGTCTATGTGCTGAGCGGGTGGAGGGGAGGCGGGGTCTATGTGCTGAGTGGGTGGGGGGGAGGCGGAGTCTATGAGCTGAGCAGTTCGGGGAGGTGAGCCGGTGTGCTGAGCGGGCAGGGCTGAGGGCGGGTGAGGTACAGATGATGATGATGATGATGACGGTGGAAATGACAAAACATGTGATGCTGGCGGCGATGCCGAATTCGAAGATGCGGACGACGACGACGATGATGATGATGATGATGATGATGCTGATGGTGGTGACGACCTGGTGTGCAGCCACTGCTGATTATCACGATGGTTGGGCCGACAGGTCAAGGTCTCTGATCCCCCCGTGGTTTTCGACGGAGTCGCGCCCGCGCACGGGGACACACAAGAGCTGGACAGCAACGGAGCAGGCAGAGCGGGGTTCGCCTTCCCATCGGGAAATCTATTAATAGATTTGTGGGTAGCCAGCTCCACAGAGTCCCTGGAAGCGTTCTCTAGCACCACCTCATCTCTCGACGCGACACGGGCACTAGGGGGCTGAGCCTGGACATGACCCGACATATAGTTCCAGCCAGGGGTCCTGGGGGTCATAGAGCCCGGGGTCGTGGGGTTGGGGGTCGTACTGGCGGGGGTCGTAGTGGCGGGGGTCGTACGGTTGGGCAGCCTGTCATAATGTTCCGTTGTCCTCGCTGGCTGTACGACGCGGTCAGAAGATGCCGGGACCAGGCTGTGGTAGTCTGGGGGCAGCTGATGTCGCGGGTGGGCGTGTTGTGCTCGAGGGATCGGGGGGCCGGCGGGTGGCCTGCCTATCAAGTGGCTGTGCTGAACACTGGCCTGGCGCTGATAGGACAGGCTGTGGGAGCGGGGGGCGAGTCCGGGGGGCGAGTCCTGTCCTCCGGTCCCACGTTGAGACGCCCGCCGACCACCCACCTCAACACTCGGGATGAGCGAGTCCAAACTGTGGGCCGTCGGGGATACCAACCAGTAGGGGGGCGGCGGGGAGTCGCGGTCGTGGACCGTCTTATTGGGCGGAGGTCGTAGAACGTTGAGCTCCTCCAGCCACGATAAGTTATGCACTTGTTTCTTGGCGTAGAGCGACCGCTGGGCCTGGACATATCCCTCCTCCCCGTCGCCAGACGCGGGGACGTGGGGCGGGAACTGCTCACCCACAGACGACGAAGGTCCGGGGTACGGCTTTTGAGGGCCGTGGAGTCTCTGGTGCCTGGCCTGAGAGCCGTTGCTCCGACACAGGTCCAGCGAGCATAGTCTCCCGGTACCCCCACCCCCACCGCCCCCAGACGAGGACTCGGTCGAGTGCTGTTGCTGAATCAGCTGTTCTCTCTCCGAGCAGTGTAGGCTCGGCGCGGGGTCTGCGACCGTCATTGGGTGGTGTTGGTGGTGCTGATGGTGGTGGTGGTTGTGGTGATGCTGGTGGTTGTGGTGACGGTCCTCCAACAGCGCCACACTCTGGTCGTATTGACCTGACTCCTGGACAGAGCCGGACGTCGACCGACACACCTGTCATATACACAAACAGAAGGTCACGTTACAGGAAGTCACTATTAGGTCACACACACACAGAATGTCACGTTACAGAAAGTCACTATTAGGTCACACACACACAGAATGTCACGTTATAGAAAGTCACTATTAGGTCACACACACACAGAATGTCACGTTACAGAAAGTTACTATTAGGTCACACACACACACAGAATGTCACGTTATAGAAAGTCACTATTAGGTCACACACACACACAGAATGTCACGTTACAGGAAGTCGACATAATGTCAAAGTTTGATTTTTATAAAACTTTTGTAGAAACTTTACGGTCATAAGGTCATAGTTTTAGGTCAGTAGAAGTTTTACAGCGCTCGCAACTGCATAAGGTCATATGAGCAAGAAGGGGTGGATGTCAACAGAGAAGTACAAACGGGGAATCAGGCTTACTCTGCTCACCTCTCTAGTCTCAACAGCACAAAGTCTGCTTCGACTATCAAGGCACCCCGGAAATAGAGGAAGAAAATGACGACAGTAAGGATTAGGAAAGAAAAAGCAGCAGTTCCCCCTATGTTGTTCTGGCACAGTATGAGCATGACATTGATAAATCAGCCCATTTACAATTCTATTGTGCATAAGACCATGTTAATATCCCCCGCCCCCCTTTGAGAATGGCCTAAAGACACTTCAGTCAGTAGCACTGCTTG